TCTTCTTCTTCTTCTTCTTCTTCTTCTTCTTCTTTCTTTCTTTTTTCTCTCTTCTCTCTTTCCTCTTCTTCTTCTTCTTCTTGTTCTTCTTGTTCTTCTTCTTCTTCTTCTTCTTCTTCTTCCTCTTCTTTATCTTATTCTTATTATTAATTTTATTATTATTATTATTATTATTATTATTATTATTATTATTATTATTATTATTTCTTCTCTCTTCTCTCTTCTTCTTCTTCTGCATCTTCTTCTTCTTGCAAGGAATATGAGCGAGAGCGATAGACAGAAATGCAAGTTGCAAAATCCCGCAGAAGTCCAGATAGTCATGTACCAAGCAGAGAGCTCAGATGCACCAAGATTCCATCCGGATAAGAGCAAAGCAGTGAACTCGTGTGCCAATGTTATCACCCTCAGGCCCCATCAACACAGTATCAAATGTCGCTCATCTCTGTCTGGTGCCCAGTGCTCAGCGTACTCTACTGAGCCTATCTAGCCTATCTTCCAACGTTGAAGAAGACCAACGACATGACGTCAACACCAATGCCGACCTCCCACATACACCAGGTACATTCTCTCTCCTCCCCTCATCAGACCTTGACCACCCACTCATGCGCCTGCTACCCGAAGACCACCTTCGCCTATTACCCGCATGCGCCCCTGCAGCCTGGCAATGGCTGCCCTGCGGCACCCCTCTCACCGCATAGCGTCCGCGTGCGCCCCAGCCAGCAGCACACGTGCAGACACTTGTGCAGCAATGCAGCAGCGTGTCCGCATTGCCTGCCTAGGCCAGAATCTCCTCACTCTGGCCAGCGACCTTCCTATATGGAAGTCGGGGCCCTGTTTGGCTGTGTGGGTCTGGATGATGAAGCTGCCAGTAGCTTCCAGTCGGGCCCAGTGTCTGCGTCCAGGCGCTGTCCGACAGTTGAGGGCCTGTGCCCTTTCTGGTTGGGCATGTCCAGGCAGCCCCCAGGCTCCAAGTGTTTGCTGTCTTCTCATTGGCTCGCTGGGCCTCTGTGACGACAATGCTGCATTCTGATTCGCCCGTGGCCACTTCGTGATGTGTCAGCCTCACACTGCGTGTGCCCAGGGCGCAACCACTCGGCCCTGGGCTCAACTGCTTGACGCAGCTGCTGTTTCTGGAAGAAGCCTTCGGGAGGCTCGCATTGCACTTCAACCAACTGGTGTGCTGCAACTGTCTGACACCCACATTGGAAAATGCTGAGATAAGGGCCTCTCGTGTATATTCAGGCCCGCCTTCACTTAGGGCAGGCCCGCTGCTTACTGGTAGCCACAGCCCATATCAGGTGCATGTTGGCTAGGGCCCCGTGAGGGCACATTCCTCACATTCCACCATACCCCTTAGCTTCGAAAGTCCGCTGAGATGCTTATAAAGCAGAAGCCTTCCCCTTTTAACCTTCTTTCATAATCTGCCACGATTTGAGGTGCTGTTTCAACCAGTTCCTCTCTTGTGAACCATCGGTCTTCTTTTGGATCCGTGTGATGCCGGAATCTGACCCAGTACTTCCTCTTGGGTTTTTGCGGTCTTACTCTACCCACAGGCTTGGCAACAGGCATATCTTTGTGCTCCAAAATGTCATTGACGTCCACGTGGCCATCCCTGGTTGTGGGCAGCATTGATCTTCTTGATGGGAACTGTTGTGTCTCAGCGAAAGGTGCAAGGGTAAGTACGCAAAGGACCAGGGATTCGAATAACGTACGAGGGACCGTCCAACTCACTACCCACGATATCGACGACTTCCCAAGGACCGAAGTACGAAGGCATTAGTTTCCTAGAGATGTCGAACTCTTGTCCTATCTCACTAGCCTTGACCCAGACATGTTCCCCTACCTGAAATGTGGACTGTCGTCGATGTTTGTTCTCAGAAGCAATCATTGCTTCTTGAGATTTCTTAATGTGCTCGACAGCCTGCTGCAACTTCTCATACTGGACACCAAATTCTATGGTTCCATGAGTTAGAGCAGATCGGTTTTCAGGCAGGAGGAAGTCTAGAGCAGATCTAGGCTTCCACCCGAAATGCAGCTGATTCGGACTGACGCCCATGGTGCTGTGTACAGCATTGTTGTACAGACTGGCAATGAGCGGCAACTTCTCATCCCAGTCATCCTGGCTGGGCGTAATGTAATGCCTCATCAGATGCTGCATCACACGGTTCATCTGTTCAGCTTGACCGTTGGCTTTGGGATGATTCCCCGAAGTCGTTTGGAGTTGGTTGCCCATCTGTTCAGCAGCCTTCTTCCACATCTCGCAGGTGAAGCAGACATGTGTATCACTAACGATGGACTTGGACAGTCCGAAGTCACGCACCCAGTTATCTATAAATAACTTGATGACATGATCCGTCCTTGATGTTTCCGGAATGGCCCTTAGTCTAGCGTATTTTGTAAACCTGTCAACTATGATGAAGATGTGTCTATTGCCACTCTTGCTGGTCACGAGTGTGTCCATGAAGTCCATGGACACGCTTTGTCTGGGACCGGCAGGAATGGGCAAGGGCTTGAGTAACCCAAGGGGAACTTGAGTTCGGGGCTTGTCCCGCTGACAAACTTGACAAGTCTGTACATACTTCTTTGCTTCGTCGAGCATACCAGGCCACCAAAAACGCTGTACTAATTAACACTTGTCTTTTTGTAGCCGAAGTGTCTGGTCGCGTCTTGGCACTCGCCTAAAAATAAACTACGCAAAATTTCACTTGCTGGAACAACTAATCTCCGCAATCCTGCCTTTTCAAGAAAGAGTAACTCATCCACCATGACAAACTCATCTGATGTGGCCTGATCTTTAGCCTCAAGTTTCTGCATGATGTCCATTGTGAAGAGGTAGGCTTCCACCAAGGATCGAGTTACATCATCTAATAAGCCAAACTCAGTAATCAGGGCACCCAGGTAGTCTGCCCTACGTGACAGCGCATCAACAACTTGTTGTACTCTCCTTTTACGTAACCTAACCTGATGTCATATTGGTCTATGACTTCAATTCAACGTTTGAGTGCGCCAGAGAGGACATGTTGTGTCTTGATCCACTTGAGTGTCTGATGGTCAGTTCTTAGGTAGAGAAACCTTCCCAACACAGTGTCCAGTGGACAAGTGCTTTGTAGAGGGCGTAGACTTCCCTTTCGAAAGTGAACTTCGCCAACTTCTTTGATGGCATTTTCTTGCTCATGTACTCGATCGGCCTCAACTTCTTCCCTTCCTGTTGAGCCAGCACCGCGCCAATACCATATTGGCTTGCATCGGTCGTCTCAACAAACAGCCTTTCAAGATCGGGGGAGCCTCCTGGGCACTGGATCGAACTGGCCGTGGGACTGGAGGGCGCTCCTTTGTGA